AAAAAATGATGTACAATTAAAGTTGTAAAGTGTAAACAAAAATAAATGGGATAAAAACTAAGTAACAAATGAGAAATCGCTGAAAATAATACTTAAGTTAAATTTAAACAAGTGTGAAGTTAAGTATAAAGAACGAATAACTAAACGTTTTAGAAAAAATAATTAATTTTGTATTTTTGTTAGGCATTTGTAAAAGAAAAAACAAACTTTACAGCTTATAAAATAAAAATATTTGTCAATATGCCGCTCAATTTTATATGAGTTAAATCAGATGCTCTAAGCAAGTGTTTCATTTTTTTGTGAGTAGGCACGACACTTATGGGAAAGACAATACAATGGTCCGAGGATAAAGACGCATCTTCTTTGTTGTATGGCGATTTTTGTACAATCATCGAGACCCAAGATTCTATCAAAAAAATCAATACATTGGGGTTTTTAATTGAAGAATATTTATAGATCTAATTTGGGAGTTGGCCAATGTAATACAACATAAGAAATTTGTGTTTAGATTTTGAAGTTTCATCATCTAGATTATTGCCAAAAATGAAGTTTCATCTCATACATATATGATTTTTTTTTTTTTTAGAAAATATCTCAAACATATGTTTGTTCCTTAAATTTTTTTTTTCCCAGATTTAAACTTTTTTCTTTGAAAACTCCGAAACTCAAAACTGAAAAGCTTATTCATATGCATACAAATTTTTACTAAACAACACGAGATCTGGATGATTTGCGCATGTGCATGTATAACAATTTTTACGTACGTTGATATTTAGCGTATGTAAGTATACTATATGCCATTAAAATAAAGTAAAGAATCTAGATGTTGTTGTGACACTACAAGAAAACATATCATGAGTGACTCCGAAAAACAGTCACAAAACCTTCGCAAATATGCAATTAGTGACTGATATACGACTAAAACAAGTGGTCGTTTAAAATTCATCGCTAAATAAAAGCGTTGCAAAGTAGTCGCTTATTACTGACTCAATTGTGACTGTTATATTTCATCATATATAAACAACTATTGTGATACTGTATTTTGTTGTCATATATGGGAGACTAATTTGTGACGAACGCTAATTTGCTACTACTCTATGACTGTATTTACTAGTCTTATTTTGAAGACGAATTTATGACTGAAGTTGTAGTCGTAAATTGTGTCGGATTAAAGACTACAAATGTAGAGGCAAGGCGAGGGTGTAGTTTAT